TCGAAGACTATGATGACAGTGACCGCTCAGTGCTTCTCCAAGTGCCCTTCAGAAGAACCCTCTGTAGGAAAGTGGGAGGAATTTACATCCATTGAACAGTTGGCAGAACCAGGGTACACTTGGATCAAGTGGCTTTCTGAACTTAACATGGTAGGCTTGGAAAAGACCAGAGTCAGACAAATATAAACAGAATCTCTTTTTTCCATAGGCTCCTGCAGAGTCCTGGAGACTCATCTTTTGTGTTCTGTGTATGCCCTTCCACCCCTGAGAATATTTGAAGCACCTGTCACCCAAGTTTATCCTAAAAATGTCAGCATTTGTACTTGTCAGAAATATATTTTCCCGCCCTGTCTTTGCCCTCTTCCTATTTTTCTGTTTTAAATAAAAATTTATTCATAGAATAAGGGATTATTTATAGGCACTAGTATGAATGTAAAATGGAAACCACAAAGCCTGCAGTTGCTGCATCAGTTGTGGCTCTGAATTTTGGTTGTGTACAGTTTTAAGACCAGCAGGAGGGAGGGGGAGTTGTCTGGTCATATTTGTGACTTGAGAGAGTAATTAAATGCTTTGCCTCAGTTTCTCTATTAAGAACAGGGATTTTATAACCGAGGGGTGCCAGCCTAATCCCTTGAAATTGTATACAAATGTGTGTGTGAATGTGCATTTTCTGCAAAGTGGGTGCATAGATTTTATCAGAAATCCTGAAATCTATGAAAAACAAGATCCACATTATATACAGACATGGTAGGTACTTTTTTGACATTAAAATTTATTTACTAGAAAATTTGAGATATTCTAACATTAGGTACATTAAATTTGTATAAAGGAATTTTTTCTCATAATTTTTTGTTAATATATATTTTTTTCCTTTTCTGTCTTTTTTTCGTGACCGGCAACAGATTGCAACCCTCAGTGTCGCGCCCGTACCGGACTGGGACTGGCATCGGGATCGCAACCCTCGGTGTTGCTCCCGCACCTCGCTCAGCCAGTGAGCGGGAACCGGTCTGTATGTGGGATCCGAACCCTCGGTGGGAGCGCCGCCGCGCTTCCCAAGTGTTGCACTGTAGCAGTGCGCCACCGGGCTGGCCTTTTGTTAATATTTTTGATTAGCAAATCATAATTGTATACATCATAGTGGGTATTTTGAAGCACTTCCAAAAGGCTCTCCTCAAAAATAATTCCCTTTCATAATCCTTCTAATTTTGTTATAAGAACAATCTTTTTGGTTAACCATTTATACTTAATATGTTCCTGATAAAGGGCATACACTGTTTGGGGCAGGTAATACTTTCACAGGATAAAGTTCAAATAAATATAACTTATCATATTGTACTAAGAATATTTCAGCCAAAAGACTTCCACAATGACTCAGTATTCGTGTGAAAAATTCTAGCATAAACCCATTGATTTGGTGTTTCTGTCTCGCTGGAGGACTGCTGGGTGACCCTGGGTCACCAGACGCATCAGCATGTCTTTGTTCATACATCATAAAAGATTTTTTTTCTCTTTACTCTTAGATATCAGTTATTCAGAGTCTGTGATGGATGCTTGGCTACAGTGGATGTAATCTTATGGGTGAAAAAGCTGAGCCTCCAGGTAACATGTTCAAAGTCACAGAGGGAGGAAAAGATAGAACCAGGATTTGAATCACTGATTATCTGTCTCTGGAGTCCACACTCTCTCCCCTAAGACATGTTCCAGTACAGTATTCCTTGCTACCACAAATACCTCTTTTTGAACCTAAGTGAATCCTGGCCTGAGATCAAAGTTAGG